CAAGTGTTGGGACAGTGGAAACCCATTGTCCTATTGTTAGCGTATTCGGAAAGAGATACGCCGATGATTTTGTTGTTGGATTGGTTTGTCCAGAACTATTTATTAGCACTAGTGTGCTATGTTGCTTCTAAGCCAATCGTAAATTGTTTAAAATTCAATATACATAACGAGGTAGTGTTGTAAATGTTTACATTTTTAATTTATTAAATAAAAGCTCTCTATGACCGAGTCACATATACATGTCTACCTATAATGACATGAATTAACAGAATGCTTGGACAGTTTTGTGTAATCTGTGCTGTTAAGTGTTACCACTAGATGTATTTTGATAATCAATAAAAAATATTTCTAATAAATAATTTAATACCTTTATAAAATATTAAAAAAAAATTATTACCATATTGTAACACAAATTAAGACATTAAGTAACAATATATAATAAGTTTTAAAAAAGACAATATAAATGCCACAATGTTAGAGAACGTCATACCTTTAAGGCAATAATTATTAAAAATAAATACATAACTTCAAACATGGCTTATAATGTTAAAACATTAAACTTAATAAAACTGTAAATGCATGTCATAAAGACGAGTATAATGATTAAACATATTACGTAAAAATAAATAAACAACAAAAAAAAGATTAACGTGTTTTTTAAACACTCTTCAAAAATAATTATATTTTACTTACAACAACAAAAATAAATACTGCTACTTTACGACTAGTTCAATTCTAACATTTTTTTTCCAATATTAATATTTATCGGTAAGTAAATACATATTTTTTTTATCAAAATACAAGCACATATAATAATAGTTTAGTAGTTTAATAGTCTACTAGTAGTTCTACTAATAGTAGAATCAAGCCATGTGATTACTAACCATCATCCGCAACAAACACAATACTCTCTGCCACTTTTCCATCCAATCTTTCACGTTTTTTTACACGTTCAGTTCTTCTAAAAGATTTATCATCAATCATTTCATAAATATAGTCTCTGTAAGTGAATAAGTTTTCCAGTTTCGTTTCATTGCTGACATTTCGTAGTTTAGACATGACAGGGGGCACTCGTTCTATACCAGATTCATCACTCAGTTCCCTGTAATACTGATCCTGGAAAAAAATTACGAAATTAATCTATACTAATATACCAAAACTACTGAACCGATTAGATTTTTTTTTCACTGTTGTTGAGCTTCCCTAGCCCCGGTTGTATTTATTACTACAATATTTTAATTCCACATGGACAAAGTTGGAGGCAACAGCTAGTATAAAACAGAAAAGTATTAGCTTGCTAAGATTTTAAAGTAATAACTTTGTAAATGCAGTGATGGGCTTGTGTTATAATTACCTCTTTATCTCCTAACAAATGTAAATCAGACATGGGTCGTCCATTACAGTTAATATTATCAACTTCCTTCTGCCAAACATTCATCATTTCCTCCTTGGAGGGCAGTTTGAAATCACCCTTTAAAAGTGCAGTGGTGTAACGAACCTGAGAAATAAATAAATAAAATAAGAGCTAAGTAATAGAAACACCCAGAAGAAATTTACAGATGTGTGTGGTGTTTCCCGTTGGGCCAATCGGCCTGGCGTACCCATTTATCTGTACAATGGGTATTTATTTTTTTATTATATGGAGTTAATCTGCCGAATCGGAAATATCAATCGTTTTTTTGATAGCGCCGATTTTGATATAAACATAATGGGCGCAATGATAAAATATCGCATTGGGCAATCGGCCATTGGTAAATACTCAATGTATGTACTCAATTAACCCGCTATTAGTCATCGTTGTTTACTGAGGCTTAGTAGTCCTTTATTTAAGCTCATCTCATGTAGACGTGCAAAAGATGTTGTCATAAATTTACTTTACCTGAGCGTCTAAAGCTACGACGTGGCAGGCGCGCCTCACCAGCCCCAGTACCACCATACTTGGTTCATTTATATTCACAAGGCGTTTGTACAAGGGGAGCACATGGTCTTTGTTGACTGTTAACCCACATGATGGGTCCAAGTAAGGATATGTATAGCTAAATCCTGAAAAAGTATTGTTATGATGAATTGAAATGTTTGGAGAATTGCTTGGTCGATGCAAGAAAATAGTCAATGGTACAGTTATTCTCAAACAAGGAAGACCCGGTGAGAGGGGCGCAGCAATCGTTGTCAGTCTTGTCAGAAAATATGTATAAAACCTTCTTATACAGATAAAACATATAAGGAAAAGTGACTTGAAAATTACAATACTAAAATTATCTTGTGACACTTTTACTATTTTGTAATAAGGGCGCTTGTGAGCTATCATAATATAGTTTGACTTATGCCCACCCGGTCAGATATAATTGTCTGTATTATAAAAATGACACTTACCAGTGCAATAAATAACATCGTCAATCTCTTCATAAGTATCGTCAACAAAAACGACTCCATTTTCTTTAAATTCTTTGATATCTGGTTTTCTTATATATTGGTCTGGGAACTTCGTTTTAATGTTTTGTTTAGAATGGTGGCTGTGCACCACTGTCTTAGCGTACTTAAGCATATCTATGATAATATCCCATGCTGAAGTTCCCGCTCCGACAATTAAAACACGATGATTTTCGTATACACTAGGTACTCTGTAGTTTTTGCTATGCAATATAACTCCTGGTAAGAGGAATTTCAACTTTTAAAATACAGTCGTATAATAGATATAAGTGTTTATCATGAGAAATATGTACAAAAACAAATATCTCTCTTATTCTAGCGACGATTCTCGCGAGATAGACATGGGGCACATGATTAGATCGTCTACAAAAAGTAAATTTTAAATATGATTTTTTCAACTCCTTAAGACATAATTTCGTAAAACAACGATGTAAAGTAATATTTATAAATGATTTAAAAACCTTTAAAAAGTTCTTCATTTGGAAATTTAGGTACATTAGCATTACTGAAGTGACCAGTTCCTATAATAATAAAATCGTATTCTTCTTCGTGGTCTGTTTTATTTCGTACTTTGTTGTATATCACTTTCCATACGTTTCCTTCCCGCCTCACTGATGTAACATTATGAAGCAACTGTAACAATTAATTGAATTTCAAATATCTATTGAATTTTTAACAATAAATATAACATTTATAGCTGCAATTAATTTTGATTTAGTGTTGTACTTATACTCGGTTGACATAATGTCGGACCGTTCGCCTATCGAGAATCGGTCTTTTAATAATATAAAACGAAAATATTGCTGCTATAATTTAGGTACTTTATTACTTTTTGCTTTTTATTACAGATATTTGACTATTTCTCGCATAATTAGGTAAAAAAAAAACATTTTGTTTTGTTTGTCAAAATCTCAAATTTATTTGATGTTTTATTTCTTTATGTAGATTTGAATAATAAAGTAGTATAATAATTCGTAAAAAAATAATTTTTCAAAAACCATTATAAATTTTTATAATCGATTTTACTCAACCCATCTCTAGTGAATTTGTCAAACTAGATAATTGTCAATATTAAATAGACACATAAACTGAATATTTTAAACATCATCTATTGAACTAAATCTGCCCTTTCAATAATTCAGTTTAAATTATTTCGTTACTTACTTACTAAAATAATGAACTTTTTTTTGCAACTATGTAAAATATTGTGATTTTATTTTTATCAACCCAAAAATTTATGTGGGTTCTCATTTGCTGGTTTTTTTTTAAATGCAAAGAAAAATATACTTATTCTGATGTTTATCAATTTACCTGTATATGCTCCATTAAGTTAAAATGTTCTGCATAACGTTGGATATAGTAGTAATATATTTCGGCACTAGGAAAAAAATGCATATATTTTGGCATAGGGTATCCACTCAGTTCCATTGCAGGATGTGGCAAATTTAATCTAAAATGTAAATTAAAAATATTGTTATTAATAGACACACAAACATGTTTTTTGAAGGTATTTCCAGAATAGCTCAACAAATCTCGATAAAATTTGGAATGAATGTAGAATATAGTCTGGAGCTGCCAGGGCAACTAATTAGTTTTATTTAATACCATGCGGACGGAGTGGCGGGTGACATCTAGTAAATCATTAATTTCAAAGCTATATTAGGTTAATGCATTTAAAAACTACATGAGAAATCAACACTTTGTCAAAGTAAAATCCTTATTAACCTTTAACTTAAAAATTATATAAATTTGCAGTGCAATTAATGTTATTGAAAAAAAAGTATAATTTTTATTTTAAAATTAAATTCTATGTATATCTGATAATACTATTATATTTACTGTAAATATCATATATAGCAATATCTTATATTGATAAGATAGTTACTCAATTCCTTTGGATTAAATAGTTCTAAGAAATAATTGAAATTCAAATATTAATAATGATGCAATAGCAAAGAGCTTCGACCAACATCGTAAGAAGCTCTTGCTAAACAGTAGGATGAGTCAAAAAGTTGATCGGTGGCCAAGTCCTAATTTTAATCAGTGTTGATCATAGACATTGAGTGGCTTGTGTCTCGATGTTTATGGGCTGCATCTTGGAGAGTGTGCACATGTATTACACAATATAATTCCACCATCATCATTCTACCATCGGACGTTTAGATATACGGCGGGAATCCATCATTATGTAGTAGAGTTACATTTAAACAATAAAGTTTGATTCGTTCCTCATGCGTACTGCAAAGGATTGGAACAAATTGCCGGCGTCAGTCTTTCCGTCTAAGTATGACATGGGAGCCTTCAAGAATAAAGTTAATATGCATTTACTAAGCTAATGCATATCATCTTTTGACCACATCATCACTTTCATCAGGTAGTAATGTGGTAAAGCATTAATTAAGAACCAGATACAAAAGACTGTTATTTTAGAAACCGAATTACTGAAGGTTCCTGTCTGTTTAGCCCTAACTGCTAGTTGCTTGAGTCATGGGATTCTGGTGGTGCACTATTTATTAAATAAGAAAATTAATAAATATGTATAATGCTGATAGTTATAATCATGTTTTAACTTTATGACTTAATGATCTGTAATTGCTCTGTGTTACATTTGATTCTCACGAAAATTACAGAACCATACACCAAAAGGCAACTCTCAAGATTTTTTTCAGAAAATTTATTTTTTTAAATAATATCTTCCCAAAAACCCCACATTCCATTTAAATACTTACAGAATGTCTAACTAATAGTGGCTTACCTTAAATCCCCAAAACAACATGTGTGCAATATTGATTCAAATGAATCACAAAGTAGCCGTCCTTCATATCTCCACATACCACCTACATAGTATGAACATTCTAGTACTGTAAAGTCTATTCCTTCATCTTTTAAATATTTTGCAGAAGTAAGACCAGCAATCCCAGCACCAATAATACAGACACGAGCTCCATTTGATTTAGCCTGAGGATACATTGTTAGTAAAAATTATTTTATCAAGTTTCAAAGTTGTTAGTTGCTTCTTTTGTTTTCGTGTAGATAATGCCTAATGTTGTAAAACTTAAAAATATTTTTGAATTAAAAAAACAAATCAAGTACAAGTTTATTCATTATTTAAATATTGAAGATATTATCCAATGTGTTCTTTGATTGCAAGATGTTATCTAATTTTTAGGAACCATGAGTGTGTTACTCATGCAAAATATTGCACAAGCTTATGCAAACAATTGAGAATATTTGTATTACATCCAAATTTTGTCTAATTATGCTGCATTGGGCTCCTAGTAGTAGCATGTTTACAACATAGCAAATCATTTAAAAATTTGCTAATTTTTTATTAGGAGATTTAACTTACCATAATTAATTTGTCGAAATTGATTTAAAGTCTTTAAAACTTTGACCAATTATATCCTTTATATCTATCTTCCTGAATAAAACAAAGTCCAAGTTAGGTTGGGAGCGACCTACAGCTTAGACGAATTACACTAAACTACTAAATGAGAAAGAACACAAACCAAAAATCTAAGGCAAATAAAAAAGGTTGTTTACATGAGCTACATATTTATAGTATTACTTGACATTGATTTACATTTGACAATTGCAATGGACATTGACAGTGACAGAAGCGTGCGAAAACAGAGAAGAAAGAAACAATGGTTAGTTACCCGATCTTTTTGCTCAAAAACATGATAATATAAAACAAAAATCTTTTTCCCTGGTTTTATTTTGCACTTCCTTAAAAAGATTTTGCAAAAGCCTTTCGACATAAATAAAAAACGTCTCCATTATAATAGGGCGAACTACAATACCGATGAATGTTATTTTAACTCCTATTTAAAGTCTATATTAAGGCATGGGATGGGACTCTTATTTGCGGTTTGTTTATTTAGTTTAACTTAAAAATTAGAAATAATATAATATTTGCTTCAAAAAGCAACCAATAGATGATGATAACATTATAACTGTTTTTCCAATTACAATGTTAGGGATCGCATTATTGTAGTTATGCAAGTGTTGGGACAGTGGAAACCCATTGTCCTATTGTTAGCGTATTCGGAAAGAGATACGCCGATGATTTTGTTGTTGGATTGGTTTGTCCAGAACTATTTATTAGCACTAGTGTGCTATGTTGCTTATATAGTGCTTGTCGGGGTATTGATGTAAAACAAATCACACAAACAATATATATTAAACATTTTATTGGAAAATGTAAAAAATAGACTCTTATTATCGTAATGGTAAATATAAAATAATAATATTTAAAAAATGCTTTAAATACATAACTTCAAACATGGCTTATAATGTTAAAACATTAAACTTAATAAAACTGTAAATGCATGTTATAAAGACGAGTATAATGATTAAACATATTACGTAAAAATAAATAAACAACAAAGAAAAGATTAACGTGTTTTTTAAACACTCTTCAAAAATAATTATATTTTACTTACAACAAAAATAAATACTGCTACTTTACGACTAGTTCAATTCTAACATTTTTTTTCCAATATTAATATTTATCGGTAAGTAAATACATATTTTTTTTATCAAAATACAAGCACATATAATAATAGTTTAGTAGTTTAATAGTCTACTAGTAGTTCTACTAATAGTAGAATCAAGCCATGTGATTACTAACCATCATCCGCAACAAACACAATACTCTCTGCCACTTTTCCATCCAATCTTTCACGTTTTTTTACACGTTCAGTTCTTCTAAAAGATTTATCATCGATCATTTCATAAATATAGTCTCTGTAAGTGAATAAGTTTTCCAGTTTCGTTTCATTGCTGACATTTCGTAGTTTAGACATGACAGGGGGCACTCGTTCTATACCAGATTCATCACTCAGTTCCCTGTAATACTGATCCTGGAAAAAAATTACGAAATTAATCTATACTAATGTAATAAAGACGAGTGATTGAATTAAACTCCAAAACTACTGAACCGATTAGATTTTTTTTCACTGTTGTTGAGCTACACTATCCCCGGTTGTATTTATTACTACAATATTTTAATTTCACATGGACAAAGTTGGAGGCAACAGCTAGTATTAAACAAAAAAGTATTAGCAAGAGTAAGAAATCTCAAATGAAGCTATAACTTTGTAAATGCAGTGATGGGCTTGTGTTATAATTACCTCTTTATCTCCTAACAAATGTAAATCAGACATGGGTCGTCCATTACAGTTAATATTATCAACTTCCTTCTGCCAAACATTCATCATTTCCTCCTTGGAGGGCAGTTTGAAATCACCCTTTAAAAGTGCTGTGGTGTAACGAACCTGAAAAATAAATAAAATAATAGTTACGTAACAAAATGTCATATTTTATTATTCGCCAGTATAATTAAAAACATTATGATGCAATATGCAGATATTAATAGAGGAATTTACAGATGAGTGGGGTGTTTGCCGGTGGGCTGATCGGCCTTACTAACTAATCGGACTAATGAGAAATTATTTTTATTATATGGAGTCAATCGCCCGAATAGGAAATGTATACCCTTGGGCCAATCGGCCTATACATCAATAGTTTTTCTTTCAATCGGCTCAATGGGAAAAAATCCATTTGGTCCGATTGGACTGACGCTAAACACTCGATGTTTATAGTCAATCAAACCCGCCCTTAACGTATTTCTGAGACCAAAATATATTTTATACAGAGATTTTGGTGTCAGAAACCCATGGCTAGTCAACGTTGTTGACCGATGCTCAGTAGCTTTTCATTTAAGCCCCTTGATGTAGACGTACAAGAGATGAAGTCATAAATTTACTTTACCTGAGCGTCTAAAGCTACGACGTGGCAGGCGCGCCTCACCAGCCCCAGTACCACCATACTTGGTTCATTTATATTCACAAGGCGTTTGTACAAGGGGAGCACATGGTCTTTGTTGACTGTTAACCCACATGATGGGTCCAAGTAAGGATATGTATAGCTAAATCCTGAAAAAGTATTGTTATGATGAATTGAAATGTTTGGAGAATTGCTTGGTCGATGCAAGAAAATAGTCAATGGTACAGTTATTCTCAAACAAGGAAGACCCGGTGAGAGGGGCGCAGCTATCGTTGACAGTCTTGTCAGAAAATATGTATAAAACCTTCTTAGATATACAGATAAAACATATAAGGAAAAGTGACTTGAAAATTACAATACTAAAATTATCTTGTGACACTTTTACTATTTTGTAATAAGGGCGCTAGTAAGCTTATCATAATATAGTTTGACTTATGCCCACCCGGTCAGATATAATTGTCTGAACTATGAATATGACACTTACCAGTGCAATAAATAACTTTGTCAATCTCTTCATAAGAACCGTCAACAAAAACGACTCCATTTTCTTTAAATTCTTTGATATCTGGTTTTCTTATGTATTGTTCTGGGAACTTCGTTTTAATGTTTTGTTTAGAATGGTGGCTGTGCACCACTGTCTTAGCGTACTTAAGCATATCTATGATAATATCCCATGCTGAAGTTCCCGCTCCGACAATTAAAACACGATGATTTTCGTATACAATAGGTGCTCCGTAGTTTTTGCTATGCAATATAACTCCTGGTAAGAGGAATTTCAACTTTTAAAATACAGTCGTATTATAGATATAAGTGTTTATCATGAGAAATATGTACAAAAACAAATGTCTCTCTTATTCTAGCGACGGTTCTCGCGAGATAGACATGGGGCACATGATTAGATCGTCTACAAAAAGTAAATTTTAATATGATTTTTTTAACTCCTAGGTTTGATAAAAACTAGACAAAAAAATAAATAAATAAACTTTTACCCCCCCCTACTTAAGACATAATTTCGAAAAAAAAAAACGATGTAAAGTAATATTTATAAATGATTCAAAAACCTTTAAAAAGTTCTTCATTTGGAAATTTAGGTACATTAGCATTACTGAAGTGACCAGTTCCTACAATAATAAAATCGTATTCTTCTTCGTGGTCTGTTTTATTTAGTACTTTGTTGTATATCACTTTCCATACGTTTCCTTCCCGCCTCACTGATGTAACATTATGAAGCAACTGTAACAATTAATTGAATTTCAAATATCTATTGAATTTTTAACAATAAATATAACATTTATAGCTGCAATTAATTTTGATTTAGTGTTGTACTTATACTCGGTTGACATAATGTCGGACCGTTCGCACATAACAAACAACTATGAACTATCGAGAATCGGTCTTTTAATTATATAAAACAAAAATATTGATGCTATAATTTATGTATTTTATTACTTTCTGCTTTTTATTACAGATATTTGACTATTTCTCGCACAATAAAGTAAAAAAAACATTTTGTTTTGATGTCAAAATCTCAATTTTTGATTTGATGTTTTATTTATGTAGATTTGAATAATAAAGTAGTAATAGGTAAAAAACAATTTTGCAAAAACCATTGAAAATTTTAAAAAACGATTTTACTCAACCCATCTCTAGTGAATTGTGAAATGGTTTGTCAAACTAGATAATTGTCAATATTAAATAGACACATTATAAACTGAATTTTTTTAACATACAGCTATTGAACTAAATCTGCCCTTTCTATTGAAATTCAGTTTAAAATATTTCGTTACTTACGTTCTAAAATAATGACCTTTTTTGAAACTTTGTATAATAAAATATTGTGATTTTATTTTTATCAACCCAAAAAATTATGTGGGTTCTCATTTGCTGGATTTTTTAAATGCTAAGTAAAATGTAGTTATTCTGATGTTTATCAATTTACCTGTATATGCTCCATTAAGTTAAAATGTTCTGCATAAGACTTGATATAGTAGTAATACGTTTGCGCATAGGGAAAAAAATGCAAATGTTTTGGCATAGGGTATCCAGGGAGTTCCATTGCAGGATGTGGTATATTTAATCTAAAATTCAAATTAAAAAAATTAACAAAAACACAAGGATGTTTGTTTGATGGTATTTCCAGAACATCTTAACAGATCTTCATATAATTTGGCATGAATGTAGGATATAGTCTGGAAGATCACATACGCTAATAATTAGTTTTGTTTTAATTCCATGCGCGCGGAGTTGTCTGGTAAAGCAATAATTTCAGAGCTATATTAGGTTAATGCATTGAAAACTGCATGAGAAATCAAAGTCAAAGTAAAATCCTATTTAACCTTAACTTAAAAAAAAATCATTTTAATTAAAGTAATTGAAATGGAAGTACAGTTTTTTAATGTAAAATTTTATGCTTATCAGATAATACATATTTATTCTAAATGTCATATATAGCAATATCTTATGTTGATAAGATAGGTACTCAATTCCTTTGGATTAAATAGTTCTAAGAAATAATTGAAATGCAAATATTAATAATTATATGATAATGAAGAGTTTCCACCAACATCTTAAGAAGCCGTCACTAAACAGTTGGACTAAGAACCCGATATGTTTAAGAAACCGCACCCATAACAAGAAGGTCCCTGCCTCTACTGTCCTGACTGCTGGTTGCTTGAGTGATGGGATTCCGCAGCCTGTGGTGTACTATTTGTATATATGTTCTATCATTATATTTAGAAAAAAATTACTATATTTAAAATAAGAAAAT